AACAAAAAAACATAATTTATATTTATTTCCTAATTTTTTATGGTGGTTACAAATTGACCGAACCCATAGATATTCATTAGTGAAAGTAACAGATAAAATATAAAGTTTTTTCTAAAAAAACGTTGGATAACTATCTGGAGGTTATAAAGATTTTGATTTGAAATTTAAAAATTTTCTGATGCATAAAAGTATTTTTAATCTTAAAATCAAAATTACTTTGCGTGTTGGATAGTCAACATTCCAAACGAAAAAAGGCATGAGAAAAACATTACTTAAAAAAAACCTTAAAACTTAATAAAACAAATTTGATATTTTGCATATGAAGGCCTTGTAATATTTGCTGATAATATGCAAAATTTCATGAATATATACACTTACTAATTTAAAAGTTATAGTACATAAACTATAACAAGCACAAAATGGTTACAAGGTCAGTCCCTGGGACCAAGTCTGTGCTGAGAGAGTTAATAGATTTAGATAAGTCTCAAAATCTTTAGAGTATGCTAATAATATTGCACAATAATTTTCATAGTGTAAAAATCAATTGTAATATTAATAGGTAATAATAACAATATTCAGAATTATTTGAATTATATAATCAATTGTAATATTAATAGGTAATAATAACAATATTCAGAATTATTTGAATTATATTAATCAAAGTAATAAAATATTGATGAAAGAAAATTTGATTATTTCCTTATGATAGGATATATGATACCTGATATATTTTATATATTTTTTGGAGGAGGATATTTTTACCTCTATTTAGATCATTTAATGCTTTTAATTTTTATAATAGTTATAAAGAAAAATTATGTTTTTACAGTGATTACCTCTCTTTTAAAGAATTTTCAATGTATATATTTTTGTACTTTCAGGCCCAAGAACGCCGTCAACGTTTAGATGAATCCTACAATTTGCATCACTTTTTGGCTGACTTTCGAGATTTAGTGTCATGGGTTAATGATATGAAGTCAATTATTTCTGCAGATGAATTAGCAAAAGATGTGGCTGGAGCAGAAGCATTACTTGAACGTCATCAAGAACACAAAGTAAGTGCTTGAATGATGTTTGAAATCAAATAAGAATTGTTGTTGTTTTTTTAATTAATTATAATGAATTAATATATGACATGATGTTAATGATATTACCATATAATGTAAATATAAATGTACCAACTAAGAATCTGAATATGAATGTTTACTATTTTAAAATTGCAGGTAATTACCTGGTGCTTTATTTAACAATATGTTTTATAAGGAAACATTTGTCCATAAACTTCATGTTATTATTGTTTACTAAATCAAAACTTCAGCCTTCCTATACATGACTGAAATGTTTAACTTCCCTCTAAAAATAATATTTTATGGTTTATTTTTGTTACAGCTTCATCAATCTATGAATGTAAAACTTAGACTTTGTTTTTAATGTTTATTTTCATAAACATAAAGCTTATAGTTTTAAATGTTTCCTTTAGAAGTACCATGATCATTTTTATTTTCATTATATAGAATGATTCAGCTCTGGTAATTAAATATGTGTAAGGGAAGAAATAAAATTGATTTAATATTTTTCTCTATTGATGAATTAAAATATATCCATTCTACAATCTAGAAAGAAGTATGTAGAAGAAAGACCATCATTAATACATTGTTATTCAATGAAAGCCGGTATAAACTTTCTTTAAAATAAAAAAATGCAAATATTACTGTTTATTTTAATTTTTCTACAAAATAAACCTCAGTCAGGATAAGTGTTTTAATGAAGGATGTGTAACTCAATATATTTTAATTTAAAAAAAGTATTCTGTTAACTTCAAAATGATTTCTAATTTGTGAAGAAAATACTCTTAAATTTACCACAATTGGCCAAAATTGGCATTGCAATTAATAGTTCTTGTCAAGTTTTCAGGGGCAGGGATGTCAAATACAAATTTTGCACAGGCCACAATTTTGCCTAGGTCCAACTATGCACAAAATTAATAACTTTTAGATTTAAAAAAAACGAAATTTTATAACATATTTCTTTACAAAAATGCAAAATAGTGTTTTCTTTCTTACAACAGGGTGAAATTGATGCCCGTGAAGACAGTTTCCATGCTTCAGCTGAAGCAGGTCAGAGATTATTAAATGAGAAACACTCAGCATCAGAAGAAGTAAAAGAAAAGGTAAAGTCAAGTACTGGCTTTGATTTTGATATTGAATTGATATGTCTAGGCAGAAAAAGTACCATAAACAAGATGCAAATTTTTATTCTTGTGATGTTTAAATATGAATGAATGTAATTTTATTTTTTACTTAATATCAGATTTTTCCAGAACATTATTCAGCATTTGGTATTTCAGCAGTCATTACACATGTATTAATTACCGTGTGTCTATCCATTTCAAATTAATCTACATATCTTTGAAAAAAAATCTTGCTATCCATTCTGTCATTCAGACAATTAAATTATCAATTATAAAATATCAATATTTGTAGTTATCTTGATCAGAATATTTTGAAATAATTCAGCATTTATAACTAACTCTTTCTTTATCTTTCCTTTATTAATGAATTGTATAAAAGTTATAAGGAAGTACATTACTGGGTGCATGTAGCTTGATTTCTAGCCATAAAGTGAACTTGATAAGTACTGATCTGAGTAAAGAAGTTTTATGTGAATTAACCAGTAGACACACAGGAGTTTTATATTAAATCCTGTGTATACATATATGTTTTTAAATGTACATCTTCCTTTTACCTTAATTTACAAACTTTTGGAAAAATATAACATATAATTTTGTAAAGGTTACAATCCAGGGTTTAACTCCTTTTATTTTACTTCCAGCTTGTTACCTTAGCCAATGAAAAGCACTCACTTCTTTCCTTGTGGGAAGAACGTCGAATTTTGTATGAACAGTGTATGGATCTTCAGCTTTTTTATCGTGACACAGAGCAGGCTGATACTTGGATGGCTAAACAAAATGTTTGTATAAAGATGAGATTCAATTTAAATTTTTATATTGCTTATTTGTGCTTTTAAAGTTACAGGTGCTTTCAGTGAAATTGCTCTATGGTGTGTGTATATGTATGTATATATATATATATATTCAGTAATTTTAGTACTATAAACTACATTAATTGTGATTAGGTGATCAAATCAGCACTATATAACAATAATGAAATTAATACAAATCAAAACCAAAACATTCACAATGAGACTTTAAATAAAAAACGAAAAAATGTGTCCATTATCAGTCCTTGTCATCACCATTAACTCGTAATGTTATTTCTATACTTTGTCTTTTAAAAGTTTTTACTAAAAGTAGCTTAAATAATTTAATGTTTTACTTACTAAGTATTTCTGAGATTAATTATTTTTGAAGAGTAAATAATAAAGTAGAATTCATTATGAATGTCTGTAATTTTATTTTGCAAAATTTGTGGGGTTACATATGAGGTAATAAAACATTTGATGTAAAAAAAAAATGAAATGATGAATTATTATTGTTCAAAAATGGTCTATTACTAATTTTTGTTTTAGGCATTTTTGGAAAATGAAGACTTGGGCGATTCTTTGGACTCAGTAGAGGCTTTGATCAAGAAACATGAAGATTTTGAGAAATCATTGGCAGCCCAGGAAGAGAAAATCAAAGTATGTGATTTCTCCACAGAAGTTGATTTCCTTGTGATCAGATCTGGTTTTTCATACTAAAACATTCAGCTTAAAAAATTAAAAATTGCTGCTCTAACATCACAAACCCCCTCACACATCCACATGACAAAACACTTTGAGGTCAAAGTATAAATCTTTTGTTTAAAAGTTGCATTCACACTGGAGTAAGTTTTTAAACTATACATTTTTTTAAATTAAAAATTATCCTTATGTCTGACAGGATGCATTCTATGCCACATCCACCCTCCTCCAGTTTGAGAACCATTAATCTAAACTATACATTATTTACTTCAATTAAGTATTGAGTATATAACCAAAGTGTGAAATTTTCATTTTGTTTTTCAATTACTTATGCTTGAAGATAAAATAACCTTGGTTTTTATTAGTTTAAGATTGAGAATGTATTGAACATAGTCAACCTAAATGAAAAGTTACAAAAGGTGTTTGATGAATTGTACATGAAACTTGAAATATTATAATTTATAAATAATATGTTTAGTACAAATATAAGTTTTACAATTATAGGATATGTTGCCTCACATTATTTAACATCTGACCAATTGAGACTATGACTTACACATTCATCAAAACTCACACATGTGTGTGTGTGTGTGTGTGTGTGTGTGTGTGTATATATATATATATATAGCTATATGCCAGCAATATGATTGGTTGAAATGTTGAATGCTATGTGCCACGAGACATATGCATCGGTACATTTTAATGTTCTACATTTTCACAAAAGGAAAGAAAATTACCCCTTTGTTCCCTAAATTACATACCTTTTCTGTAGAGGTAACAATATGATAATGTACAATATACAGAAAGCACACATTGTAGGACTGTCTGTTTTTTTAAATAATCTCAACATAGTCAATTTTGTTTCAATAAACACCCCAGAAATACTAAGATTAATATCTGTTATAAACATTAAAACTTCTTGGTTTATACAAGGTGAACAAAATTACTCTCCACTATTATTATTTCTTGCTAAATTGTTGGTGAATATCTGGTCTCAGAAAGTTGAACAATTATGTACTAGCACTGTGTTATTTTAAGTTAGATTTTTCATGAAATACAGCATTTATCCCATGATGAATTCAAACTGACAAAATTTAGTCAAAATTAGATTTCATTTTCTGAAGAACAGTTTTGTATATTCATTCAGGGTAAACCTAAACCATTGCTCAGTAAGAAGAGTTAAAAGTCAAACATACTGTATACTCTCTGTTTATCTCTGTGTATTTGATTGAATGAATATATATATTTTTTATTTTCCTACTTTTACAGGCTCTTGATGAATTTGCCACCAAACTTATTGAAGGACAGCATTATGCTGCAGATGATGTGGCACAAAGAAGAGCAGCTGTAAGTTAGCTATTTTCCAGTTTAATATGTGTATTGTAGTTTTTTTATGTTAGAAATTGTATAGTTTGATATATAGTTCAGAATTTAAAATTTTACTTTAATGTCAAAAAATAAATTTGTAAGATTATGCTTTTCATTGCATTCTTCTTCAGTCATGTTAAAATATAATCATTTTGAGAGACATAACTTTGTAATACTCATAAATGAAAGGGGCAACCATGCAGTTGTAGTTTGATAGATATTAATACATTACATAACAAATTAAACATTTAATGTTAGTAAATCTGAGAAGCATATGTCAGAAAACATTTTGTGTATTAATGGAAAAGATTTATAACTGATTTATTTCTTTATAAAGCTAAGTTAGTCAGCTTCTACTTGTACAAATTTTTGTATTTGAATAATTTCAGTTTGACTGTTATCATTTCAGCTACTGGAAGGTCGGCAAGCACTCCAGGATAAGTGGAGCTATCGGCGTACAATGTTAGAAGATTCTTATCGTCTTCAGCAGTTTGAACGAGACTGTGATGAAACAAAGGGATGGATTAGTGAAAAGTTGAAAACTGCCATGGATGACAGCTATCTGGTAAAAACTTTTTTCAAATGTTTTATGTCATTCTATCAACGTAGTGCTTTAAATTTAAACAAATGCTCTTTTTTGACCACCATGGATGAGAGTTGTTCAAGAAAAATTGTCCACAGTCTTTTACTAAGTTTTATGTTAATGAATTTAAGCCTTAGTTAATGAATAGTTTATTCATGTTTTTTTAATTAAGACAACCTTTGATAAGCTATTTTAACAAAGCATTATCAACCTTTAGAGAATGCATTTTTGATGTTAGATGAAAGAAATCCAATTCTTATTCACTATCTCAAGTTAAAGAATTGGTTCATGTTTTATAATATCTGCTGTTTCAACTTCAAATAAATAAATTTTAATTAATGCCTTAAATGACTTTAAAAAGATAATTTGAATAATTATTAAAATATTTTGGAGATTTTAGGCTTATTCATCACATAATGGTATTAAAATGATTTATTGTTCATCGAATTTGCACAGTGACAAAATATATTTCAACAAATGTTTTTGTGTTTGTAGTTCTGTTACTTTTTTATAGTTTTATAAAATAATTACATTAAAGGAGATTTCTAAATAAAAAATGTTTTTTATTAAAATGTAAATTTGTATATAGGTAATTTATTATATTTTCATATTTCAAATCAATTTTCTAGTTTTTATGCATTATATGTTAAAAAAAGGGGGGATATCTCTAATTTTCCTACAAAATTAAGTTTACCCTGACCTTGAATTTTATAGGACCCAGTAAACCTGAATGGAAAAGTCCAGAAACATCAGAACTTTGAACAAGAAGTGAATGCCAACAAGAGCAGGATTGATGAAATTACAAGTACGGGTCAGGAGCTGATTGACAGTAATCACTATGCATCAATAAGAATAAAGTAAGTTAGTTACTTGTTGCTAGTTTGAGTACTTTTTCCAAATAACTATTGAATTAATATGGTATGTACATAATGCTGATAACTCTAACAACTAGTTACATAGGAACCTAAACATAATGCTGATAATTCTAACAACTAGCTACATAGGAACCTAAACATAATACTGATAACTCTAACAGCTAGATACATGGGAACCTATACATGATGCTGATAACTTAGTAACAACTAGATACAAAGGAATGTGTAAATGATGCCAACAACTCAATAACAGCTAGATAGAAAGAAATGTGTACATGATGCAGACAAGTCAAGAACAGCTTGGTACATAGAAGTATGCTGATAAACCCATAATCTTTGAATATATTTAAATGAGTATAAAATGTTGATAACTCAATGGCCCATGAATGTGTAGAAATATGTAATATGTTGATTACACACTTGTTATTGGATCTATGTAGGCGTGCTTCTACGTGTAGTAATCAAATTCATTTAGTGTTTTAATTTTGTATTAAATTCTCTAATGCTGATTTGTTTCAACACAGATACTTCTTTGTTTTATGCTTTATCCATTTATTGAAATTATTTCAGTGTCTTTTAAACTCTATACATTAAAAAATATAAGCTAGGTTATTTTACAAATACTGTGAAATATTTTGCATAGTAGTAAGTAAAATTTTATACATCTAGAATGTAGAAGTTTCTGATGGTGTTTAAGAGATGAACATAATTAATAGTTGCTTCCAAGATGAAGTGTGGAGATGATAATGACATAAACAGAGTCCATAAAGCTTGGAACAAATAGTAGTTGTATTAGGTCATCAAGAAATTAATGTCTGGTTTTTTAGATGAAAAAAAACTTGAACAACTTGTATATCAAAACGTTTATTAAATGAAATAGTCTCCATTCTTATTAATGATGTTTTTCCAACTTACAATAAGGTTGTTAATGCCATGATTAAAGAAATCACTTGGCTTTGAAGCAAAAAACATGTTGATGTCCTCTTTAACACCTTCCACATTTGCATATATTTTCCCATTGCAAAGAACGAAAAAGATGGTAATCTGATGGTGCCATATCTGGAGAATATGGTGGGTGGGGGAGAACTTGTGTTGAATCAATCATGTCACATGTGGACATTCATTGTCGTGGAGAAGAAGAACACTTTTCCGATTGACGAGTGAAGAGCGTTTCTGATGAAGGGCTTGATTTAAACGTTCCAGTTGCTGACTATAAATCTCTGCATTGACAGTTTGCTGAGGATTGAGGAGTTCAAAATGAATTACTCCTTTGATGTCCTACCAAATGCAAAGCATCACTTACTGCGGATGGAGTCCAGGTTTTGGGGTAGGAAGTGGTTTTTGTCTAGAACTGAGCCATTGTTTTTGGCATTTACTATTTACATAGAAAATCCATTTTTCATCACTGGTGACAATTCTGTCCAATAATGGTTAATGCACATTATGCGCCAGAAGAGACGAAGCAACATTCACATGTTGGAAATGATGATCATCAGGGAGTTTGTGAGGCACCCAGACACCTTCTTTATGGAGTTTAGATGTTCGTATTTGTTAGATGTTTATGTACTGTTTCATGAGAGACATGCAAATTCAGGGCCACTTCTCAAGTGTGTTGCCTTGGGTTAGACTCAACAAGCGTCTTCAGAGCATCAATATCAATTTCAACATGTCGGCACCTGGCATCACAGTTTTTAAAGCTAAAATCACCTGAATGAAATTTGCTGAACCATCATTGACACTTACGAACATTCAAAACATTTCAATAAACTTCTTTGATATTCTTTGTGGCTACAGAGGCATTGTTTCCCTTCTTGTATTCAAACAGCATTACATGCCAAATGTGTATCTCGTCATGTGCCATCACTATAAAGGATTAGCGTATATAGGCTACACTAACATGACGTTTAGGCTTTTCATTTAACTATTATACGTGATGTACATTTTTTGAGGGTCGTTAATGAAAGTGTTCCAAAATGTGACATTAATTTCTTGACAAGCTAATATATCAAGTTTTCAGATAGATTCTCACACACTTATTATAAATATATTATTATAATCTTTCAAGAAAAATATAAATAATTCAGTTGTAACAATTCAGTCTGATATTATCCAATGTTCATCCTATAATATGTTGAAGTTTCAATTCTGTGAAGAAAATGGGTAATTTATCTCAAGAAATGAAAATTGTAAAAAGGCATGCAATTCTTCTCACTCTGGCTATGAGGATATTTACTGTACAGTCTGTTATTTTTGCTAAACTTTGTGAAATTATGTGACTATTATAATAAGAAATCACTAAAGTTTTCCCAAAGAATGTTTTTACAGAGTATCCAATAATTACTTTAAGTATCCGTCAATATTTACTATGAATTTTGATTGATGATTGCTTTTCTTTCTCAACCTTTTTATATTCCTAGATCTAGAAACTGTGATCCAGACAGTACAAATATAAGTTATTTGTAGTGGTTGGATTTGTAAAACATATTTACAGAAAAAAAATCAATAAATACTTAAGTTGCAGAACAGCTCAATGTCTTTTTTAAACTTGTTTCAAAAAACAATTTATTAAGTAAAAACATAATACATGTTACTGCACACCACATTTAACATTAATTTTAGAATGTACTTATCAGTGAAAGAATGGGTGAGATTGTTGATTTGTGGGAGTCCTTGACTGAAGCAACTACCAAAAAGGGAACCAAACTGAAAGAAGCCTCAGCTGAGCAACAGTTCAACCATGGAGTTGAAGACATTGAAATTTGGTTGTCAGAAATTGAAGGGCAACTTCTTTCAGAAGACAATGGCAAAGTTTGTAAACTTTATTTCATCCTTTATTATCGTTTTCAAAGTGATTTTTCATCTTTATGCAGTTTTTTTTCAATAGATAATCTTCTTTAAGTTTTTTATTAGATATTCTGTTATACATACCTAATTCATCATTATACTGTATTCTAAACCAAAGCTCAACTAATGTCTGGCCTGTTGTTTCAGATATTTTTATACAGTTATAATCAGTTATGAACTGGGATTGTAATGACTTACTTAATGACGGCTGATTAGTCTTGAGTGCAACAACTTTTTATAGAACCATACCCATATCTTTAACACTTTTTAATTTCAATTTATTCTTTTTTTTTAATTTTGTGTATTTGTATTAGTTACTAACATGACTGCATTTGCTAGTAATTTTTGATAAACAATTTCCTAGAATGATATCACCAAAAAATTTATAAAATATTACAACACCATATGGTAATATCTTGATAACATGTGCTCCTATATATATTTGTACTTCAAAATCGTTTGTTTAAATTCCAAAGCAGATTATGAACACAATTATAAATGTAATGCTAATGTTTATATACAACATGAAAACAAGATTTTTAAATGTACTACATTTAATAGTGCGATTACTGTTAATTTTTATCATTTTTAATAACCTGTACAAATAAGTGTGCCTAATTTAGTGCTGCTTTATTATTTAATATCCATATTCCTACAATTATAGGATCTCACCAGTGTCCAGAACCTACTGAAGAAGCATACCCTACTTGAAACTGATGTCAGTTCTCATCAGGTGAGATTTACCAATCCACAGTTAGATCTCTTTTATTGAACTATAATGTCCTAAATCTGTCTCAATGAGATGTATAATTAAAATTACTTCATATATGAAGTGCAAGATTGACTTTGAAACTTTATTCATAAGTTTTATTGAGTATTATTCTGTGCTTTCAGTGAAAACTAAACGTTTGCTAAATATTGATTCTCGTGTTTTTATTTTTGATATGAACTATGACAATAACATATATTTGGAAGAACTAGCTAGAATACCTGGTTACTCTCTAAATTATAAACATTGTGCAACATTTTTAAATTATTTATCAAATTTATGAATTTCATTGTCTCTGTACTAAATTTTTAGGTGATGTGAAAACTGGAAACCTAGTTGCAGTAAAACATTATTTTGTTATAAAACATTTTTAAAATCTTTTTTGGCTATTAGTTCAGAATTTTACATGTTGTTCTGAAAATATATAGAGTGTATTATAATTACTTTTCTTGCTGTTTTCAGGATCGTATTGATGGGATTGTAATCCAAGCTAACCAGTTTGTTGAAAGAAGTCATTTTGATGCAGACTTAATCAAATCCAAACAAGTTGCTTTAGTAGAACGTTACAATGGCCTACAACTGCCAATGACTGCAAGACGCCAACGTTTAAATGATTCTCTTCGTGTACAACAACTGTTCCGTGATATTGAAGATGAAGATGCTTGGATACGAGAAAAAGAACCAATTGCAGCTTCTACCAACAGAGGTTAAATAATTATTTCTGTCATGGCTAAAATTAATAGTTTTAATATTAAAAATTAATTTACGATTAAATGTTTTCAATAATTTGTTCTTACATTTATTGAAACATTTAAATTCTTCACATCACGATAGATTTCAGATACATGCTTGTAAAAATTATGAGGATTTGGGGACTTTTTTTAATTTTGGCAAAATTTCAATGTTTTCAGAGTGCTTTTTGAAAGTTTGACTGCCTCTCTCAGTAAGACATATCTATAAAGTTATCCTGTTTCCAATGAGCAAACTAAGTTTGGGGCTACAGAGTTTAAATGTGCAATTTTATTACATTTACAAATAACTTTTCAAAAATAGAGGTATTTACTTTTAGGAGATATAACATCTTGACAGGGCTAGTGACTTAGTTAATACTGGTTTAATGCTTTTAACCATTAGTTTACTTCCAGTAACCCTATATCTGTTGAGTCTATAGTTTTATTGTATATTGTAAATTGTATATCTGTATTGACACAAAGTGTGATTCTTACAAGTTAATTGGTTTAGATTGTGGCCTTTTTTTATAATCAGATTTGTGAAGATAAAAATGTGTTATTTTAGTATTATGCTTGCAGAATTACAGTGCTAGAAATTGGGTTTCGATATCTGTGGTGAGCAGAGAACATATAGCCCTTTGTGTAGCTATGTGCTTAACTACAAACAAACTTATTTGAGTAATCTTGCAAAACTACTACTTTTATATGTGAATGATAATATATGATAATCATCTAAGGATCTGTAAGTTGGAGATAGCTTTAAATTAATTTCACCACAAAATAAATTCATACATATTTTATCTGAAATCCTTTATATATTTTTTTTTATTTCATTTTTAGGAAGGGACTTGATTGGAGTTCAAAATCTAATCAAGAAACATCAAGCAGTGCTGGCTGAGATCAACAATCATGAACATAGAATTCGAGCTGTGTGCCAGGTTGGAGAAGAAATGATTAATGAAGGTAAATTGTTTGTTTTCAGTCATTAAATATGCTTTTTTTAATTTGAACAGGAGCATGTTCATTTTGTAAAATTCACCCACAAGAACAGATTAGTGGTCTCTTAAAGTAATCTCAAAAATTCCAAACCAAAAGAACAAATCAAAACTTAGGTTTTTTAATATTGTATATATAATCATAATACATAAAAAAACTGTAGCAATACTGTGTATTGGTGTATTGTGATAAACATGTTTGCATGTAGTCATATTATCAGTTTACAAACTTAATAGTCTTGAAAGTTAACAGTTTAACACCTTGGGATTTCAGACCAGATTTATTTAGCTCATTTGTAACTTAAAGTAACATGTTGGTTGAAAACACCAAACACTAAAAACAGAACTATAAAATGAAATAGGAATTAGTTATTACAAAATATAACTCCAGCTGAGAAAATAAACCATGCATTTAAAAATTACATTGATTGTAAGGTAGTTTGGTTGAACTGAAGCTTTCTGACTACAAACAAATCAAAAAAGGTAGTGTTATGACTGGGGAAGTCGCACAACGCTGGGAGCATGCTCGCTGGAGTTTCAAGAAGGATCATGAATTATCGAGGAACTCCGCGAATGTCCTAGTGTTTGCCAGCCGACCTCTTTTTTAGTATATAAGGCCTGGTGAGAAAAACCAGCACAAGGTCAGAGATAGATAGATTGGAGATATAGATAATTGAGTCAAGCAAACAGTAGGCACTGTAAATAAAGTTTGTGAATTGCTGTGAATTATAGCATGTGTTTATAAAAGTAGTTAAGTTAAAGTGACTGTGTTTCTTTCTGTGCGTATTACTAGAAGTTGTATCAAGAAAGAATAAACTAGTTTCAATCAAGACAGGACTTGTATTGCTGAAGTTCTTCAGAAAGAATTTCTACTGGAAATTAACAAACAAGCAGATACGTAACAAACTGGTGTCAGAGAGTGGGATGGAAAATAAAAAAGAAGATGGAAACGAGAAGTGGCAAATCAAACTATGACTTAGCAGATTTGATGGCAGCAATACAAGAACAGCAAAAGAAACAAGAAGAGAGATTACAGCAGTGGTTGGAGGAGAAAGAAAATAAACAAGAAAAGAGACTACAGCAATGGTTGGAGGACAAAGAAAATAAACAAGAAGAAAGTCTACAATAGTTGAGAGAAAGACAGCATACACAAATGGAAAAGATAAGTAAATTTCAAAGTGAATTAAATACATTAAAGGACGATTTACTGTCTTTTACCCAGGGAGGATATATTAACCATGGATCTTATCAGCCCCAGACAACAGGAAGCCCATTCAAGACCCCACAGCTAAACCCTAATGCAGACATCTTCAGTCCTGCCAGAAGTCACATTCCAGACACGAGTGTCAGCAATAGGGGTGATCTAGTACGAAGGAAGCCACAGGAATTTGATGGGAAGCATATAAAGCACAATATGAGCTCCTGGCAGAAATGAATAGATGGACAGAGGAGCAGAAAGCAGTGTACCTGGCAACAAACTTGAAGGGACAACCACTGGAAACACATAGAT